CTCTGGCTGTTTAACTTTCTTTCCTGATATGATGTCAGCAGTTCCTACTTCCAAATAATTTATTTCAAATAATGGCAAACTGAGTCCTATCTAGACATGGAAAGAATGCAGACCTATGATCTCACTGCTATTTTTATATCTGAACTCTATTAATCTCTTTAGTTTATGAAAAGGAACTGGTGTGTTACCCCCTCTATTTTTCAGCTGTTTTGTTTCTCATTGTCAACTATTTATCAGATGATGCCTAAAATTAACCTTTCCTCTGTTTTAAGAACACAGTGCTCATTTCTCTGCTTCATGTAATGTTTGCTATGTACTCATTTTTGCCAGGGTGGCGCCATGCTGTATCACTGCATGACTCCATAGGGCATGATTCCATGGAATACCATGGCTGGAACTGCAGCCAGGTAGGAATCATGGGAAGCCCCTTGCTAAGCTCCTTAGAGAGCCCAATGGGGCTAGGCAGCCCTAGACCCAGTAACACACTGGTATCTTTACTGTAACCAGTCTTGTGGATGAAGGCCACTGTTGAGAGCTTTATTTAGGGGTCATGATGGTGCAAGTTTTTACAAACACATTCATTACTTAACATGCTTAATCTCACATCTCTTTTTAGTACCATAGAGAACCTAGGAATTGGCCCACAGCAACTATTCTGGCTCTCAATACTTTTTCAGGAGGAATGAGAATATGTGGGTAACTCCCTTAAATACCCTTTTCAACTCAACTCATAAGCCCTCAAATGACAGTATTATTCTAGCTGGCATGCCCAGCTCAGTATACTAAATACTTGAATTTTTTTTTATTAACTGAGTAACTTACTGTCATCAGTTTCCAGAGGCATCTGTCTCTTCCTTCCTTTGCTTATACCACCACCTTTATGCAAGCCTCATCTCACATATTAATTACTACAGCAATCACCTGACTGGCCTTCCAGGCTATATCTGTTTGGCGCCTCCCTCCCCTTTGGCTTGATTAACAAATCACCATTTAATTAACATACATTTCTTTACTGAATACAAAAGAAATATTACGCGGGTGAGCATTTGGCCTAGTGGGTAAGACACCCACTTCTCATACTGGAGTGTTTGAGTTTAAGTACCAGCTTCACTGCTGATTCTAGCTTCCTGCTACTGCACAGGAAGGCAGCAGCTGATGGCTTAAGGACTTGGGTCCCTGCCATCCACGTGGGATACCTGGATTAAATTAATGGCTTCTGGCTCTGGCCTGGCCCAGCACCAGATGTTGCAGTCATTTGAGGAGTGAACCAGCAGATGGAAGGCTTCTCTTTCTGCCTGTCACTGTCTCAAATAAATAAATATTAAAAATCATGTTATGCCATAAAATAAGCCTCAAGAACCCTTTCTACAGAAAGAATATACAGATCAGCCTCTCTTAAGCATACACAACAGTCATAGTCAATGTCAATTATCTTTAAAATTGATTTGCTAGTTCTAATGGATAAAACTTTTTTTTTTTTTTAAAGAAGACTTATTGGGGCCAGAGCTGTGGTGTAGCAGGTAAAGCCGCCGCCTGCAGTGCTGGCATCCCATATGGGTGCCGGTTCCAGTCCTGGCTGTTCCACTTCCGATCCAGCTCTCTGCTATGGCCTAGGAAAACCACAGAAGATAGCCCAAGTACTTGGGCCCCCGAATCTGTGTGGGAGACCTGGAAGAAGTTCCTCTCTCCTGGCTTCAGATCAGCACAGCTCTGGCTAATTGTGGTGAATTGAGAAGTGAACCAGTGGATGGAAGACCTCTCTCTGCCTCTCCTTCTCTGTGTAACTCTTTCAAATAAATAAATAAATCTTAAAGAAATGGCAACTTTAAAGAAATTTTAAAAAATATAAAGACTTATTTTTTTTATATTTCTTTTTTTTTAACTTTTATTTAATGAATATAAATTTCCAAAGTACAGCTTATGGATTACAACGGCTTCCCCCCCATAACGTCCCTCCCACCACAACCCTCCCCTTTCCCACTCCCTCTCCCCTTCCATTCACATGAGGATTCATTTTTGATTCTCTTTATATACAGAAGATCAGTTTAGCATACATTAAGTAAAGATTTCAACAGTTTGCTCCCACACAGAAACATAAAGTGAAAAATAATAGATGATTTTTAAAATGATGATGAAATCAGATCAGACCTATTGTCATGTTTAGATCAGTTGGATTGGCTCAGCTCTGGACGTGGCCATTTGGGGAGTGAATCAATGGATAGAAGACCTCACTGTCTCTCCCTCTTTCTCTCCGTAACTCTCTTAATAAATCTTTTTTTCTTTTTTTAAAGGCAGAGTGAGGAAGGTAAGTCTTTCATCTGCTGGTTAACTCTCTAAATGGCCATAATGGCCGGCGCTGGGCCAATCAGAAGCCAGGAGCTAGAAGCTTCATCTGGGTCTCCCAGGTGGGTGCAGGGGTCCAAGTAATTGGGCCATCTTCTACTGCTTTCCCAGGGACATTAGCAGGGAGCTGGATCGAAAGTGGAGCACCCAGGACTTGAATCAGCACCCATATGGGACTCCAGCACCACAGGTGGTGGCTTTACCTGCGTTGTTACAGTGCTGGTCCCTGGATAAACCTTTCATAAGCTATATTCAATAAAACTTTTAGAAGTTACATTTAGGGCTGGCGCTGTGCCATACCAGGTTGAGTTGCTGCCTGCGGTGCAGGTGTACCACATGGGCGCCAGTACGAGACCCAGCTGCTCCACTTCCAATCCAGCTCTCTGCTATGGCCTGGGAAAGCAGTGGAGGATGGCCCAGGTCCTTGGGCCCCTGCACCCACATGGGAGGCCTGGAAGATGCTCCCGGCTCCTGGCTTCAGATTGGCGCAGCTCTGGCTGTTGCGGGCAATTGGGGAGTGAACCAGCAGATGGAGCACCTCTCTTTCTCTCTGCCTCTCCTTCTCTCTCTGGTTACTCTTTCAAATAAATAAATCTTTAAAAAAATTCACATTTAATAACATAGCCATATAGAAAGAAAAATATTAGATAATTATGATAAATGCTGGAAATATATATGCAAGCGTAAGCCTATAGCTGAGCTGGTAGCAAAACAGGACTCTGCATCTAGTCCTGTCTTAGCTCTTTCTGTAAATAAGATATTTTCACTTATTAACTGAATTTTATTACCAGAAAATAAACAGCTCTTCTGTGCCTTTTTGTGTTACACAAATAAAAGAATACAAATACTGTGGGGCTGGTGCTGTGGTGTAGTAGGTCAAGCATCTGCCTGCTGCGCCAGCAACCCATATGGGCAGCAGTTCGAGTCCTGGCTGCTCCATTTCTGATCCAGCTCCCTACTGATGGCCTGGGAAAGCAGTAGAAGATGGCCCAAGTGTTTGGGCCCCAGTACCCATGTAGGGGACCTGGAAGAAGCTCCTGGCTCCTGATTAGCCCAGCTCTGGCTGTTGTGGCCATTTGGGGAGTGAACCAGTGGAGAGAAGACCTCTCTCTCTTCCCCTCTCTCTTTAAGTCTCTCAGTAAAATAAATGAATCATAAAAACTAAAAAGAAAGCAGAAAACAAATATTATGCACATCATTCTCTTGTGTACCACTACAATTATAAATTATGTTTAAATACTTATTCACAAAGTGAGGCACAACATGACCTTAGGTATTCCATAAATTTCCACTAATAAAAAACTTAGTTTGAGTCAGCGTCCTGTCTTAACTGTAACCTCAAAAGTTACTTATATCTATGAAAATGCTTTTTGATGGCAATTCTGAGAAATGTACACTGTTTTCAGCTATTCTTACATAAAACTTAATTTAAACTTTGAAAATATACATGATGGGGAAAAATGTTTCACTCTGTCTACCAACAGTCACTGAAGTTTCAGATCGTTATAGATACAATTATTCTCTTTTCATTTTCACTTGTAACTGCCAAATATTAAAGTATCCCTAATCAGCATAGTTCTCTGAAAAATTTTTGTTGCTTCTAGTTGCCTATACTCCTTATTTTGATACCCAAGGCTCTTCATATTCTGTTAGCAATCCAGCTCTCGGTTCATGTACTGTACCACTCCTCATAGCTCTGGCTACAATGAACTTTTTACCACTATTTCTATGCTATGGCAGTCCCTTTCTAACCGCTGTGCTTCCATACATGCAATTCTAATTTTCTCAGTAATCTTTTTGGCTTTTCCTATTCATTCTTCCAGATGCAGTTTATTTATTTATTTATTTTATTAGACAGGCAGAGTTAGACAGTGAGAGAGAGAGAGCGACAGAGAAAGGTCTTCCTTCCGTTGGTTCACCCCCAAGATGGCCACTATAGCTGGCGTGCTGTGCCGATCTGAAGCCAGGAGCCAGGTGCTTCCTCCTGGTCTCCCATGCGGGTGCAGGGCCCAAGGACCTGGGCCATCCTCCACTGCCTTTCCGGGCCACAGCAGAGAGCTGGACTGGAAGAGGAACAACCAGGACAGAATCCGGTGCCCCAACCAGGACTAGAACCCAGGGTGCCAGCACTGCAGGTGGAGGATTAGCCTAGTGAGCCGCGGTGCCAGCTCCATTCCAGATGTAGTTTTAAGTATCACCGCCTTTGTAAAGTTTTTTGGGTTGCTGAAGGCAAAGCTACTATATGACTATTTTTCCAAATAGATAGTAAGTATAGGACATCAAGGATATTGTCTTATTAATCTTATAAATTCTCCACATCTGGCACAGGGATAGGGACTCAATGATGCTAGATGAATGGAAGAATATCTTGACAATGTGTTTGAGACAGAGCTGTCATCTCAGTTAAATACAGTAACTTAAAATTTTCCTGTAATCATGAAGTAATAGATTGTAAACAGGGAGTATTATTTTGACATTTTCCAGGCCTGAATAAGTACTTTTGGGTTCAAATAAATAGCTCAATGTTCCACAACTCCTTAAAAATGAGTTTTTAAAAATCTTTCTAAAATTCCATAGACTCAATGTTTCTAAATTTCATTTTTTTCTGGATATAACTGAACATTTGGAAAGCAATTTATAAAGCAGAAATAACTTACTTTATTTCGATCCTGTACAACCAATATTCTCCTAGTATTTTCATCAAAAACAGCTCCTGTTGGGGGAAATAAATAAGAGAACTGAGATATATTAATTTCATCCATTATCATTGATTCCACCCATAGTCTTAATTCTATCATGCTGGAAAACATCTTTCAGTTACCTCCTCATCTATGAAGACTTGTAAAACCCCTCCAGCAAGGAAGAGATCACTCAGCTGTCCAGATTCTTTTTACAACATGGAGTCCAGTCACAGTTCTAGCATGCGCTAACTTGCGGTAAAATCATCTGCATAAATCACATCTCTAGATTGTCTATTCCTGATGATACAGTTAAATTAATGTTTCTGTCCTCTTACATCATTTCTCTCAGTGTTCAGACAACTAAGTTCTTTTCATAATCCATTTGTGAAGTATTATAAAGTACAGACTGGGTAGCTTACAAACAGCACACTTTTATTTTTCATAGTGCTAGATGGTGGGAGGTCCACGATCTAGTGCCAGAAGACCCCGTGTCTGGGGAGAGCCCGTTCCTCACTGACAGCACCATCCAGCTGTGTCCGTTTGGAAAGAAAAGGGCAAACAAGCTCCCTTGGCCTCTTTTATAAGAGTGTTGACCCCATTCAGGAGGGCTCTGTCCTCACAACATAGTTGCCTCTCAAGAGCTCCACCTTTTAATGTCATCATGCTGGGAATTTGGTTTCATCACACACATTTGGGGAGAGGGGGACACAAACCTTTAGACCACAGCAGCACTTAAAAATATTTATTCAATAAGCAAATATGACTTCTTCATTCTTTTCTTCATCACTGCACAGAATACAGGCTGTATCCTTAACAATACAAATCTTAAATTCTCTCTCAATTCAGTTTAAGACTCTCTTAAGCAGATTAAATCTCTTAACTCACATATAAACAACCTATGAGCAGAGTGCTCTGGAAGACTTCTTTATTTTGTTATATTTTAAGTTCTTGTTCATTTCTTTCATTTATTCATAAACATTGCTCAGCAAACTATGGATTCTGATGGATGTTAGAATTCCAAAATAAATAAGATATTCTCTTTCATTTTAGTATTTGTCTTTGATAATTCTGGATAAAAATACAAATGACACTTTAATCACTTGTATTAGGTTTCTTTAAATGGAATAACTTAGCTATATTTGTATTTATATTATGGGGGAATTTTTTTTAAATATTTAACTTGAAAGGCAGAGTTACATAGAGAGGAGAGACAGGGACAAAGAGAGATATATCTTCCATGTACTGATTCATTCCTGAAATGACTGCAGGGGTCAAGGCTAGGTCAGGCTGAAGCCAGGAGCTTTATCCAGGTTTCTCACATGGGTGCAGAGGCCTAAGCTCTTGGGCCATGTTCTGCTGCTTTCCCAGGTACATTAGTAGGTAGTTGGACTGGAAGTGGAGCAGCCAAGACATGAACTAGTATCTATACAGGATGCAGGCGTTGCAGGCAGCAGCTTAACCCTCTATGCTGCAACACTGGCCCTAGAAGATATTTTCTAAAAGATATTTTCTAAGAGCCAGGGTTGTGGCCCAGTGGGTTAGGTTGCTGCCTGGGACACGGGAATCCCATATGGGCACTGGTTCAATTCTTGGCTGCTCTACTTCCAATCTAGCTCCCTTCTAATGTACTTGGGAAAGCAATAAAATAGAGCCCAAGTGCTTGGGCCCCTGTACCCTCATTGGACACTGGGATGAAGTTCCTGGCTTCTGGCTTTTGCCTGACACAGGCTTTGCTGTAGTGGCCATTTGGGGAGGGAATCAGCAGATGGAAGATTTCTGTCACTGACTTTCAAATAAATAAATCTTAAAAAAAGATATTTTCTACATATGCATTAACTCCTAATATTGAGTTTCTGTATAAAGTATACTTATATCTTTTTCTGGAGAAAGATTTATTTATTTGAAAGGCAGAGTAACAGTGAAGGGATAGAGAGAAGGGGAAAGAAAAGAGGCATATTAACAGGCAGCTGGACTGGAAGCAGAGGAGCTGGGATTCTACCAATGCTCTGATGTGGGCTGTGGGCATAACGAGCAGCAGTTTAACCCGCTATGTCACAATGCCCAACCTATATAGGTCCTATATCTATTATCTGAGCCCCTGTTATGTGTCAGGTACTTTTCTAGGTGCTAGGGATATTGTGGAAAGCAGAACAAAGAAAACTCGCTGTCCTTGTGGGGCTCACATTCTCCCATGTATGCTTGGAGGAGCCAAATAAACAAAAAACTAATTATATGGAACATCAGAGAGTGATAAATATTATGCAGAGAAAAATAGAGAAAGAGGATAGGTTAGTGTAACACAAGGAAAAGTAAATGAAATGGAAATGAAAATAACTATATGTAGCATTTTTTTTTGTTTTTTTTTATGTTTATTTAATTTTTTTTATCTTTTATTTAATGAATATAAATTTCCAAAGTACGACTCATGGGTTACAATGGCTTCCCCCCCCCATACCGTCCCTCCCACCCACAACCCTCCCCTTTCCCACTCCCTCTCCCCTTCCATTCACATCAAGATTCATTTTCGATTATCTTAATATACAGAAGATCAGCTTAGTATACCTTAAGTAAGGATTTCAACAGTTTGCTCCCACACAGAAACATAAAGTGAAAAATAATAGATGATTTTTTTTAAATGATGATGAAATCAGATCAGACCTATTGTCATGTTTAATCCCAGTGAGAGTCAAGTTGGGAATTGATAATTTCTTTTTTTTTTTTTTTACAGAAGATCAGTTTAGTGTACATTAAGTAAAGATTTCAACAGTTTGCACCCCCATAGAAACACAAAGTGAAATATACTGTTTGAGTACTCGTTATAGCATTAAGCCTCAGTGTACAGCACATTAAGGACAGAGATCCTACATGAGGAGTAAGTGCACAGTGACTCCTGTTGTTGACTTTACAAATTGACACTCCTGTTTATGGCATCAGTAATCCTCCCTATGCACCAGTCATGAGTTTCTAAGGCTATGGAAGCCCCTTGAGTTCTCCGACTCTTATCTTGTTTAGACAAGGTCATAGTCAAAGTGGAGGTTCTCTCCTCCCTTCAGAGAAAGGCACCTCCCTCTTTGAAGACCTGTTCTTTCCACTGGGATCTCACTCACAGAGATCTTTTTGCCAGAGTGTCTTGGCTTTCCATGCCTGAAATATTCTCATGGGCTTTTCAGCCAGATCCGAGTGCCTTTAGGGCTGATTCTGAGGCCAGAGTGCTATTTAGGACATCCACCATTCTATGAGTCTGCTGAGTATCTCACTTCCCATGTTGGATCACTCTCCCCTTTATTTATTCTATCGGTTAGTGTATATGTAGCATTTTAAAGGAAGAAGGCAAACCACAGAGATAACATTAACATTAATGTTGACTTCTATTAGAAAATGTTAACTATAATCTAACTGGACCTTACAAGTGACAGAATGCCAAAGAAATGCAAAGAAAATCTGTAAAATTTTAGTAATTTGTGGTTACTCAAATTGATCTTTCTCTAAAGAATTCGCTGTAAACCTGAGCACAAAGACAAAACCAGCACTGCTAAAGCACACTTTGAGCGACCTCTGGTGGTCACGATATAAAAGTTCAATACGTCCAAGAACTCAAGGATGAAGTAGAGGTAACTACTGCTATTAGTCAAGCACTGGGCTAAGTGCTTCAAGTAGGTAATATTAGGTATTCATCATAAAGTTCCTATGAATATCGTGATGAATGCCCGAGTTTGCACAGCGACTGCGACTGTCAGGGAAGTGCTCTTCTGGCTGCATGACACTGCCCCTTTGTAACATCACAGCTGCTCTCTCAGAGGGCTACATTCCACCAGAAGATCTATCCAACCATTCATTCAGGAAATACTCAGCATCTGCTTTGTGCCAGGATGCTGTCCTTAGCCAGAAGATAAAGGAATGAACAGGACCTATAAAGGAATGTGCCTTCATAGAGTCCAAATTATGTTGTGAAGACTTAGTATGTAATGTATTCTCAGAATGTGATGAGTGTTATAAAGAAAAACATCTGGGGAAAGGGACAAAGACTGATGGGAATGGTATGTAGGAGGACACTACTTTAAATGGGTTGGGAGCTTTTCTGAGAAAGAGGTATTTGAACAAAACCTTAGCTAAGCCAGTAAAGAACTTGATACAGGAATTCTGATCAAGGAAAGCTCACTGCAGGTAGAGCAGCCAGTAGGTAGAAAGGATCTTAATCAAACACAAGCTTGCTAGGTTGGAAGAACAGTAAAAAAAAAAAAAAAGCCATAGTTAACTGTATTACAGTCACATCTACCTTCTGTTGTTTCTAACATCAATTTTTTTTTAAAAGATTTATTAGAAGATTCCAAGATGGCAGATTAGGGAATGATATTCTGTGCTAGGCTAAGGATAAACAGTTTAAAAGAAAAAAATGTAGGAAACGCACCAACAAAGATGCAACACAGATTGAAAGTGAAAGTGAAAGGATGGAAAAAGATAATCCATGCTAACAGAAACCAAAAAAGAGCTGGCGTGGTCATACTAATATCAGACAAAATAGACATTAAAACAAAAACTATTAAAAGAGATAAAGAAAGACACTATATAATGATAAAAGGATCAATTCAACAGTAAGATGTAACTATTATAAATGTATATGCACCCAATAACAGGGCACCTGACTATTTGAAAGAAATGTTAAGGAATTTAAAGGGATATAAAGACTCAAATACAATAGTAATGGGGGACTTAAAGACCCTACTTTCACCAATGGACAGATAAATCAAACAGAAAATCAACAAGGAAACAGTTAATCAACACCACAGACCACACAGACCTAACAGATACCTACAGAGCCTTCTTCCCTACAGCCATAGAATACACATTTTTCTCACCTGTGCATGGAACCTTCTTTAGGATTGATCACATGCTAGGCCTTAAAGTAAGTCTGAACAAATAAAAAGAAAATCAAAATCATACCATTCATCTTCTTGGACCACAATGCAATGAAGCTGGAAATCAGCAATTCAGAAATATCCAGAACATACACAAACACATGGACTGTACAACA